TGTGATTACTACACATTTCATGCCTGTCTCAAAACATCTCACATGCCCCGTAAATATATACACCTACTGTGCACCCACAAAAATTTTAAATTAAAAAAATAAATAATGATGAGTTCAAAGAATTTTGAGTTAGCAGAATTTTTTTTTTAATGTTTCAATGTTCCAAAACAAAGTCAATTCTCAGTAATTGAGAAGAAAGGGTCTTAAAGGCTACATAGCCACTTCCGAACTGGTTAAGGATGACCACTCTAGCATCTGAATATCTCAAGTAATGAAGAAATAATTACCCTACATCCCTGGAAAGTATTAGTACAATATTAAAACTGCAACTGTAAAATCAGATCCATTCCCTTACCCTTATTGAATTATCATAAACTAGGTTTTATGAATATGAACTAACTTTCAAACTGAAATTATTCAGAAAGAATACAACAATATTTATTGAATATAATCTCCAAAGTTAGCATAACTACTAGTGTGGATGTGACATTATATACAATCCAATCTACATCATTGAAATTTTTTCATTTGTTCACTTTATTTTGTCTATCCAAGTTCATTATTTTTCCATTTCTACTTAACTCAGTGCGTATTTACTATTCTTGGTTCAATATTTTATAATATACGACCTCATTACAGGGACACATTATATCCTAGCTACCTAATATCCTCCAGGTTTATCCCTCATTATTTCAATATAATTGTTCATAGCACCCTTTTCACTCTCAAATGTATCCTAGTTTGGATGACAAATTTATGTTCAAAGATAGTAAAGTTTACTTTTTTTTTCCAGACAGAGCCTCGCTCTGTTACCCAGGCTGGAGTGCAGTGGCACGATCTCGGCTCACTGCAACCTCCGCCTCCTGGGTTCAAGTAATTCTCCTGCCTCAGCCTCCCAAGTAGCTATGATTACAGGTGCATGCCACCACGCCCAGCTAATTTTTTGTATGAGGTATTTTTTAATTGTACCAAAAATCTTCACAAATTAAGCTTGGAATCCCCCGCCCTGCATTTTCCAGTCTTTTCAATTAGTAAGCTTTGATTTTCTTGTGAAATTACATCTTCTTGATTGTGGAGTATTTTTAAGGCAATGAGTAGCTGGTCTGTGCTGAGAACAAACACCTCCACAGAGGCTGGAACCAGGCCCTCCATGTGGACAGAGTGGCCCGTGGTCAACGGACTGTCACTTTCATTAACATATTGACAGCCAGAGGAAACCTTTCTAAGACAGGCCCAGCAGGGTGGCAAAAGATATTCTCATATCTGAGGAAGCCTCGGCCATGTTTCTTTAATCTCTGAGTGCCTCAGTTTATCTGCCTATAAAGGAGCACAATGATGCCCACTACACAGGGCGGGCGCTCTAAACATCAAAGGGGTGAGAGCCAAAGGGCACTCACAGCCACCAGGAACAAAGACAGGAAGTAATTGCAAAATGTGTGGCTCCACTTCCAGCTTGCAAGCAGAGGGCTCCCACTGACTTGAAAGAGAGCATCACACACAGGCAGGAGAAGCCCCCAGGAGGACCAAGCCTATTACCTTTGTTCTCATTGTCTGAAAGGGCAGAGGAGAGGGAGAGCCACAGAGGAAGCTAAGAATGGTGGGGGCAGAAAAACAAGACCAGAAGAAAAACTAACTGTTGGGCTACAAAAGAAAATCTGTGAAGACTGTAGGCCAGGGACAGTTTCTAAGGAATCATCTATCTATTCTCTGATCCCTTGATATGACCCATTCATGCATTTCTCACATTGGAATGCCTTTATCCCACACTCTATCTGTCCTTCCTGACATTTCACAGTCTAATCTAAAAGCTTCATGGCAGTTCAATAGTCATTTGTAGAGCAGATTAAATTTCAAAGTTCTTATGTTGGTAGCATTCTAAAGGTAAGGTATATTCAAATGATTAACCAATAGATAATGACATTGTGGCCAGGTGCAATGGCTCATGCCTGTAATCCCAGCACTTTGGGAGGCTGAAGTGGGAGGATCTCTTGAGGTCAGGAGTTCAAGACCAGCCTGGCCAACATGGAAAAAACCCCATCTCTACTAAAAATACAAAAAAAAAAAAAAAAATAGGTGGGTGTCGTGATGCATGCCTGTAATCCCAGCTACTTGGGAGGCTGAGGCCGGAGAATCACTTGAACTCAGAAAGTGGAGGTTGCAGTGAGCTGAGATTGTGCCAGTGCACTCCAGCCTGGGCAACAGAGTGAGACACATCTCAAAAAAAAAAAAAATGATATTGTAATTGGTGATACTATTTTATCACAAAATATGAAGACCTCCAAGGCTGAAGAATGGGTTTGAACAAGTACAAGTGCCATCACTGTTTTGGTGAACTCACAGTCAAGGGAATGTAAGATATCCTCTTGTGCATGAATACATGCTACTACGGTCAAATGGAAAAGCATGATAGTAGTAGTAGATGTTGCTCCAACCAGTATTCTCCCAGCAAAGGCTACTTCTCAAGACTCCTTCAGGGCACTCTGAGAAGGCATGCAAGTATACAAATTGATGTGCTAAATGGGCTTGGCTGCAAATCATGCTTTTGTGCATGGATCCAGCTGAAAGTTGTCTCTGAATCTATCAGGCCTTCCCAGGGTTCCTTGAACCAGTGCAGAGAGAGTCAGGGAATGTCATGACAAGAACATGGATTCAGGGTCAATTAGACTTGGGCTCAAACTGTAGTTCCACCAACCACCTCCGTGGCCAAGTGGCTCTGGATAAGTCACATGGCCTCGCTAGGAAGAGGAGTATGAGTCCATCAGCTTTGCAAGGTGCTGGCAGGATGAAATGTCCAATGTATTCCCAAGAGTCAAGCATTGTGCTGAGCTGACCTTTCCATTGCAGTCATAAACCACTCAAATCCTCTACTCCACCCTAGGCTGGGGGACAAGCAATAGAAAGTGAGAATCATTCTGAAGACATTAATATGAAATGCTTGCATATACTTAACCAAAATAGGGCCTTAATTTAAGCATCTGGAAGAGCTAAACTGCACTTCTAAAGTAAGAATTCTTAGATGTCAAACGTATTCTATTTTATGATGTGTATAATTCTGCCTCTTCTATGTTGTTAACTTGTAGAAATTGTGCACATGATTCATCTCTTCTAAAACCACACACGCTGGCCACGCACAGTGGGCCTCCCAGGGGCTGCCTCCTGCTCCAAGAGCCTTCAGTCCTGAATACATAAGAGGTAAAGGCCAAGGGCTTAGAGTTGCAGAGGCCTTAGAGCTCACCCGTCAGCCTCCTCACCGAAAATGGAGGCTTAGAGAGGGGAAGTTGCTTGCTGAAAGTCAAACAATGAAGGCCTTAGGTAAGGATGTTGAATAAGCTGCTATAAACCAAACCTGTCCACCCCAAACCCCTGCTGCAAACAAACAAACAAACAAACAAAAAAAGGCTTGCCACAGAACCTTATTCCCTGTATTTCCAATTCTGTAGTCAAACAATGTCATCAGCCCATCTGGTACTGAGTCTGCCCTTCAAGAAAGAAGTTTTACTTCAATATCACAACAGAGGGAAACCCACTAATAATGCGTTAGTGTCATTTACTATTTCCCAATATGACATAAGACCTAGTTTCTCATATGCCTGGGGTTGGCAAATCTGAGAGACTGGAAAATAAATAAATAAATCATCAAAAGAACCCTCTGAACATTGATACATGTGACATTTGCTGTCCCATGATAATAGACACCATGCTGGGACAGGAAAGTTAGCAAATCAAACATTTTAGCACATGTTTTAGAGAGTCCACTAGGCCTCCTACAAAATCAACTTCTCCATTTAAATTTCTGAGCACAATGATCTCTAATCATATTTTAAAAGGTGATAGCCTACACAGAGCATGATTTGCCAACACTGAAGTGGAACTGGGTCCCTGTTTATAACTCTCCAGCTGCTACTCCTCACTGATGCCTAATTCTGGTTCCATCTCTGGGAATAAGGGAACAATCTATTTTGAATGTGCTCATTTACAGACCAGGTTGTACTGAGGCTAATTTCCAGTTCAAACGCACTTCAGGGCTTCAAAGCAGTTTTGTACCCTCAAAGGAGACTACCATCAAGACCAGAGTAGGACAGAAGCCTACAGGAGGAGTGAAATCAGGGGACCTCACGTTTTTAGGATGAGAGACATCACAGAACCTGTCTAAAGGTGGAGGGGAAGGAACCAGGGGAGGCAGCTGAATGTCCAGTTGAAATTCCAGAGGACAGAGGTTGTCATTTTCAGTGGGTAACACAGGGATGAACCCCAGAGCATTGCTAGAGAAAAGGGGAGGGGAGGTGGGAGGGGGGCCCAAAGGAAGGAGAGGTAAGGAAGGAAAGGAACGGAGAAAAGAAGGCAGGCAAAAAAAAGGGCCATGTGCAGAGATATTCTGAAGGAAGTTTAGATGACATGAGGCACGGAGGGAAGGAAACGCGGATTAAAAAGGACCTCTTCACCAAACAGTTTAGAATTTTAACAGAGAAGTTCTGCTCAAACACGTAATTATACATTGTAAGTATACCACTCAGGGATTGGACTTTGCTGAAAACATTTTTAACTAATGTTTTCTCTTAAGGAGCGTACTTAATTCATGATGGAGAAGAAAGAGATCATTCCATTAGACTGATTTTTGTGGAATAACAAGTCAAAACTACTGAAATCCCAGTCTTTAACAAAGTGAGAGATATCCATGTGGAAAAAAAAAAATCCCTGCTAGCAAAGAAAAACTCAAACCCTAAATTAGCAGGTTAATTCACAGTGTGGACATAAGAAATAGCATACTCAGTTTGATATTTGGTTGTCAACGTGAGAAAATAAAGCACACTAAATTCTATAGAATAAGCTTTTCCAACCCCAGAAATTACTAGGAACTCAATAGTTTTCTTGGCTGTAACAACTTGTAAATATCTAGAAGAGCCCAGATTTTGAAGCCCTGAGGACACTTGCTAAAACTAAGAAATTTGGCACTAGTCTTTGCACACAATTTGGGTTTTCTTTCAGAGTTGATATCTTACCAAATACAGCCATCTGTGTTCCCTCTGGGAAAGGTTCGACTGTTCTGTTGCCATTCACATGATGTTTGGCTAGAAAAAAAAAAAAAGAAAGAAAGAAATGCAAGTTTAAGTGTAAAGTTCTAACACATACTAACACATGTCATTAAATGTGTCGATGAGCCTATTTCTCCTTTGAGTTAAAAATGCACCCCAGCTAACCCTCTGAAGAGAGCTTCAATCGTTTTGTTTTTAATCTCTGTTGCAGAAGGGCCTAGAGATCATCTAGTTCAGGTATGTCATTTTATAAACGAGCAGGCTGAGGTCTGAGCTTGTGCAGAGCTGGACAATGGGTGGCTACAGACCCAGCCAGCCTGAAGGCTCCTGATATCCGGCCAGAGTCCCTCTTGTGCCAGGCCATTTCTAGAAAACAGGGAAAGCTCCAACTTCCAGGTTGAACTGGGGGTGGGTCTCCCTGAAGACTCCTAACAATCAGAACACTGATGCACTCGGTATTTAAAGTGAGAAGTAAAAAGGGCAAGGTACCATTGGAACCAATTTTTCGAGAAACACAATAGCAGAACATGTCATTTCACTATAACACAAGCACTGTTCACCCAGGCCAAAGACACCAGCCTTCTTAAGGGCCAGAGAGATATTCCAGTGCCTCCAACTGCTCCTTATCCCCCCAGGTCCTTCTAACCAGTCACCCTTCCCACCCTAGTAGACACCAAGGACTCAGAAGTAATAAGTGACCAGGTTATTGTTTTCCAGCATTAACTTGATCTTACAATCCCCCAAACTGTGATCAATAGAGAATGTGAGTATTCCCCATCTATGAGCATTTTTTTAATAATATCCTCAGCAAGTTTTGAATATGAGCACTTATGTGGAAAACACAAAAGACAAGGATAGCTAAGACGCTTCACACTGCATCATGGGCACAGACGCTTTGATGTAATGGGTCACACTGGATTGGCTGGGTTCAGGCAAAGGGCTCAGCACTGAAGCCAGGCTTGGAGGGGTCTAGGGAAGGATGACACGGTTCCTGCCCTCAAGGAGAGTACAGTTACCTTCAAGAAATAACAATTGCAAAAACAAACATTAAAGAAGGCATATAATTATGTGCTAAGTCCTGCCGTGTGGACGGAGAGTTCTGCAGGAGTGCAGGAGATTGTAGCAGGAGAGCTGCTGGGTGGGAAGTCAGACGTGCTGCCTGAAGGCACTGACACTCCTGGAGTCCAAAGGAGAAGTCAGGTTTGCAAAGGCGAGGGTGAGGGAGCAACTTGAGTGAGGGCCAGGAGTCATCTTCCTGGGCCAGAGAATAATCTGTCTTGGTGGAGTGGAGGTACTATTTTGAGAAGCAATGGCAAGTAAATCTCTTAGACTGAGACCAGGTCATGGAAGATCTTGAGCACCCATCCAAACCCATGGGAACCACAGGCAGCCTCTGCAGTACTGATGCACATCTTTTAGAGCCTGAGGCTTTCAGGGTTCACTAGTTCAGGTAGCCCTTAGGGATTCCATCAGTTCCCTTCAGGGGCTTCCACTAGTTCTGAAGTTATTGTGGCATTCCTACAAGCAGAAAGCCTGGGAAAAGGGAGGAGCTAGCCCAGGGTTCTGAGGGCACGGTGGTGAGCTCAGTGGCCTGAGAGAGGTTTGTAGCCACTACCTGGCATGATTAGCAGATGTGTGATGGAAGGTCCTAGATGTGTGACAGAAGGACCTTGTCAAGCATTCACTGATCTGGTTAGAACCACTGGTTACTGAATTCAAATCAACATGCTGAGCTTCCATGTGGAGATCAAAGATCTGCCCTTTGGTTCTTGCCTCACAGCCCTGTCAGTGGTTTGGAAAACATTTGCCTTGACCCACATCACAAGTCAGAAATCTATTCAAACTCTTTAAATCCATGAATCCCACTTGTAAGAATTTATCTTAAGAAAAAAATGCAAGAGAAAAAAAGGCGATATACATAATATTTATGAAAGTATTACCTTTATTAACAAAATCTTAAAATCAACTAAATATCCAAAAGTAGAGAAATTGCTTAGAAAATTGTCATTTATGATTTATCAAATGAATGGAATATTACCCAATGTATTTTAAATGCAGCCTTGAGAGAGATATAGAAACGTGGGAAAATATTTGGGATAATGGTAAGGAAACACAACCCTATTACGTCTTCTACGTAGATTATAATGACAACTAATTAAAATACGAATATTTATGGGAAAAGAATGGCAGAAGAACATAAAAATGAAAATAGAAAGACTATGCAAGACATTTATTTTTATTAATTTCCTTTGTCATTGTTAGATTCTTTTCTTATTGTCTAGGGTGAAAATGTTTGAATTCAAAAAAATCAAAATTATAGATTTTTCTATTTTTTCCACAGCAGTTGGTTTCCCAGGACAATCCATTGAGGTCTGTCAATGGCCCAGCTGAAACTCACATGTTCCCAATCCAAAGTGCACCCTATCTGACATCTCCTCCGAACACCGCAACACCACACAGGATGTCCTCCCACCCTAAAACGGCTTCTCTGCCAGCATCCCCCACCTTTGGGAACGGGCCTGCCATGCTCCTGCTTTTTAGTTGTCCTTATCCCTTCTCTTCCCTTCACTCCCCACATCCAATCTGCCACCATAGCTAGCGACTGTCCCCTCCCAGATACCTGCAGCATCCCCCTCACTTCTTTTTTCACTACCCAAGCCTCCCTATCCCCAAGTATCATGACCCCTTTTCCTGGACTCCAACATCTGCCTTCTAACTCTTCTATATCCCATGTCCAATTCATTTTTCCCAGTGTAGCCACAATTATCTTTCCAAAGGGAAAAACATCTAATCATGTGACACAAACTCCACGACCCCTCCTCCCTTTCCAAGGCGCCCCATGACTGAGGCCAGAGTCAAAGCTCTTCGGCACGGCCTGAAAGCACCTGCTCGGTCAGAACACCAGCATCCCTCATCCGTCTACCACAGCCACCCTCGTCTCTTGGGACGAAGGGCCTTTGCTCTGCAGCACTCACCCAAGTAGCACTCTGTGCTTATGCCATTGTTTGGACAGGGACTGCATCTATCAGTAGACTGCAAGCTCAGGGAGGGCAGCGGTCATAGCTCTTTGACTCCCCATTTCCATAATCCTCTCTCAGTGTATGGACACAGAACAGGCATTTGATGAGTAATTTTTAAATTAGCGAATGAGGTAAATGGTACTAAAAAATCTCTTTAGCCATTATGACAGATAATTTACTTGATAAGTTAAAAATATAGATACACAGTTATGTTTCACTTAACAACAGGGATACAGTCAGGGAAATCTATGTGTTGTTACGTCATTTTGTCATTGTGCAACACAGAGTGCATTTACACAAACCTACATGGTAGAGCCAACTACACACCTAGACTATGGCTATGTGGTATAGTCTACTACCCCTAGGCCATGACCTGTACAACATGTGACTATACTGAATACTGTAGTCAACTGTAATACAATGGTAAGTATTTGTGATCTAGATATCTATAAGCACAGAAAAGGTACAGTAAAAACACAGTATAAAAGATTAAAAAAAGAGATACACTTGTCTAGTGTATTTATGACAAATGGAACTTGCAGGACTGGAAGCTGCTCTGGGTAAGCCAATGAATGGTGAGTGGGTGTGAAGGCCTAGGCCATTACTGAACACTACCATGGACTTTATAAATATCATGCACTTAGGCTACATTCAATTTTTTTTTAATTTTCTTTCTTCAATACTAAATTAACCTCAGCTACTGTAACTTTTTACTTTATAAACTTTTAAACTATTTTTTACTTTTCGACTCATATAACAACACAGCTTAAAACACAAGCACATTGTGCAAGTATACGAAAATATTTTTATATCTTTATAAGCTCTTCCTATTTTTAAAATTTTCATTTTTTACTTTTTAAAATTTTCTGTTGAAAACGAAAGACACAAATGCACACACTCGCCTAAGCCTGATCAGAATCATTAATATCACTGTCTTCCACCCTCCACATCTTGTCCCACTGGAAGGTCTTCAGGGGCAATAACACACTTGGAGCTGTCATCTCCTATGGTAACAACGTCTTCTTCTGGACACCTCCTGAAGTACCAGCCTCAGGCTATTTTACAGTTTTTTATTACTGCAGGAGCACACTCTAAAATAATGACTGAAAGTATATAGTCATCTATGATCATTATCAATTATATACTGTACATTATCAAATGTGCTGAACTTTTCTATGACTAGCAGTGCAGGTTTGTTTACAACAGTATCACCAAACATACATGAATAATGTGTTGTGCTATGATGTCATGATGGTTACAATGTCACTAGGTGATAAAAGTTTTTCAGTTCCATTATAATCTTAAGGAACCACCATCATATACATAATCCCTTGTTGGCCAACACATTGTTATGTGGCACATGACTGTTACATATCTTTATGTGTATGTGTGTGTGTTCCTTACATAAAATGATCATTGAAAATGGCCCCTCAGAAATAGTTCCCCCAGCCAGGTGGCCTGGAGACAAGGGAACTCCTCTATTCCACTCCTTAAACCTCAAGCCCTCTTCCGTTTCCCATTTACCTAGTCTCATCTGAGAGATTGGCAGTGATGGCTGAGGTGGAAAGACCAGAAATGCTCCATAAACTGGAGAAGGTGGAGGGAGTTCACTTGCTATTCCCTCCTCACTGATGAGGCCCCCGGGGGGCCTTGTCTTTAGTTCCAGAGCCTGAGGTCCAAAGATAACAGGTTCTGTAAACATGAGTTTGCACCTTCTGAAATACAGCTGAGTCTTACATCAGTCCTGTGAACCGCAGGCACAACACTCACAAGCAGGAGACAGGACAGAACTCGCAAGCAGGAGACAGGACAGAACTGGTGGCTAAGAACAGGGGCTCCAGAACAAGACAGCCTGAGACTTTCAGCTCTCCCACTTCCTACCCATATGATCTTGGCTTAGTCACTCAACCTCTTCATGCCTCTGTGTACTCATCTGTAAGAATTTCTTCATTGTAAGTTTCCTCATTTGTACTTACCTCATGGGGTGTTTTGAGAATTAAATACAAAAAGCACTCA